CACTTATATTTCCCTGACGTGTTGTAAAACACGTTTTGAGCTCATTTCACAGTGAGTTTGGCCTACATATAACTGATTTATTGCAAAAAAGGATAAATATGTTTCATAATTCTAGTATTTGATATAATAACATGAGTTTTCGTAATAAGTTTAAGGAAGTGTTAGATTTTGTATTTCAATTATTTTTGCAAATGATTATCATTTGGAGCTTTTTTAAAACTTAAATACAATTAAAAATAACTATTTATTATAAACAAAGTTTTAGTTTGACTCATAATGTTTATATGAATTAATGGTAAAGTGTTTTCTTTATTTGCTATTATTTCACACTGTTATGCAATTTTTATTTACTATTTGATTATAGAAATTTAATAAAACAAAATCATAGTGCTAATTTATATTGACATATTATTACGAGTTAAAAACTTTAAAATATGCCAGCGGTCTATACGTGTTAATAAACTGGACAGTCCAAGAAATTAAATCCTAGAAACAGATATATTTGCATTGTATTAAGGAACATAATATAAATTTAAATAATTACACCAAGATGTCGTTGTACGCATTGTCTTAAAATGCAACATTAATCGAAATCAAGTGAATTTTTAAAATTTTAAAAAGATAATCTACGTTTGACAAGCATTTCAACAAGTTTTTCTGACATTTTTCATAATATGAATAATCGTATGTAAAGAATGTACATGGTCCAATAAGACAAAATAGTTAACTTTTGTCTCATCTCGTCTTGCAAGAAAACACCAATATATTCAAAAGTGTACTTTTATGCCAAGGACATTTTCGATTGTCATTACACGTTGGCATGCCTTAGCTATTATGTTTAAGAATATACAATGCTCAAATTTGATCTAAGAAAATATTGATAATTGCTACAACCTTTTTGTAAATATAGAAAAAAACATGATTTGACTTCACAGAACGTAGATATATCATGTTTAAAATTCTACAAACTATAACTGGTCACAATATGAATATTTAGTGTCATTAAAGAAAATTAGCAGTTTCTTTTAAAGAAAGGACCAATACTTGACCTGTTATAGGGAACACAGCTTCCCGTACATACTTTACTCTTTCGTTTGATTCAAATTCGACATATTCAATAGGAATTTCATGGATTTCAATAAATTTCTGTGAATAAAATATTTTACTTAAGGATGAGCATAGTATGTCTTTAAGATGTGTTTGAGAATTTCATTTTCTGTGAGAATTTCGTAACAATGCCTTTATGCCAGAAATGACATGTTTAATATAATAATATCTGTCTTTCCCTAGATTAATCATGGAACACAATATAAAATAATACTCCATTCTCACATGCTCATGCATTATTAATTTTCGACTGTTTTCGTTGTGTTGAATTTCAAATTTATATTCAATTAAATCTTCGGAAGTATCAGCAAACAGTTATTATTTATGCATTCAATAGACACTGCTTTAAAAACTGAAAAGAAAATAAACATGAAGCTTGATTCACGGGAATGTTTTAACATGTAAGAGTATCAAATTGTTTATTCATGAAATATTAATGAGCACTTGCTTTTGTAATTCTGAATTTCTAATCTTTATAAACATTATTTGAACTTGTATTAGTAATGGTATACAGTTTCTACTAGAGTAGATTTTGTTGGAAAGTACAAGAAAGCAAAGTGTAATAACAAACTGTGTGAATATTCTAAAAGTATCTTTTAAGTAACATTCTTCTTCTTTTTTCTGTTAATAGACGACAATTTACATATATTTGACAATAAATATGTCAATGTGCAAACTAATGAATTGATTTTTGTAGTTGTCATGTGTGAACATATCATACCAAAAAGTCACTGATAAATTTGTATTGAAATGTTTTTTATACTGTAAAGATTGGTAATGATATGAAACATTTTACCTTGAAGGTAACTGATTTGATTCATGTTGCTTTTTGTACATGTCTGGCTGCACCCGTAAGTTACACTAATGTGTTTTCTGTGTGCGAACATTACCTTAGCAACATCGATTTTTTTTCTAGCAACATGTGCCTTTATCATATTTATAAAGCTTTGTGTTGAATGAAAACCTCTTGTCATTATTCTGTAACCTATTCATAACAAAACCTTATAACAGAAGTGTAATACAGGAATGTTTATTTTATCCTTATTAAGCAAATCCGATAGAAACAATCACTGTACAACATTGAAAACCGGTTTTGTTTACCATGGATATGGATTATATTTTTTTTGTATATGACACTGCATGTTTTGATATAGTTTTTTTTTATTGTTTTGTATTAGAAAAAGCGTTCATTAACATATAATTTCTGAAAATTGTGGTCGTACAAGCGATGTTGCCCATGTCTTTTTGTCCCTTAAATGTTAACTCATAACATCTATCTAAATTTAAAATATTTTTGCCGCTATGTCGCTTTATTATATCGAATAAATATAATGCATATAATACTCATCGTATATGGGTATTGCTTTGCGTACTTTTGCAAATTTATAACTAGACTAGTGTATACTTGTTCGAATCCCATCTTAGGATTCTTTCATGCGAGAAATCTATCCAGCTACCTTACGGAAGCATTCTACCTTACTGTGTTGGTGTGACATTTTAATGTCTAAAAACTGACTAGAACTTTGCATGTCCTTATAAAAACTTATTAGGAGAAATAAAATTCTTATTTATTCTTTGTAAAAATACATAATTTCAAATTATGATGTATGATTTTATTTCTTAACTCCTAATACTTGTTTTATTTCACCTAAGTAGGCTGTTAGAACTTCTTATTCAGAGTTACAAAGTTGTAATTAAGTTTATATCTCAAATTGGAGTAACAAAGTTGTAATAAGGTTTATTTTATCGCTCCTATTTAGGAGGAGTATCTTAATCCTTATTAGGCTTTTATAACTCCTAATTATAAATGAATAACTCCAATTCAGTTTTGTTCAGTTGTAATTAGGTTTATTTCCCCTAATTATGAGTTAAAGATTACTTATTAGTTGCAACTGGGAGTAACAAAGTTCTAAATAATGTTTATTTTATCTCTCCTATTCAAGAGAAATATCAAAATCCTAATTAGGCTTTTATAACTCCTCATTATAAGTGAAGAAGTCCAAATAAGGCTTTAAAAATTCGTTAAACAATTTCTTCTAAGAATATTACATTTTCTTCAAGACTGTCCCATATAAACATTGACATATGATTAGAGAAGTTCGACTATGCGACCACATACATACATCGAGGACATGTTATAAGGAAAGTGACCGTGTCACAGGTTTCCCCTTCTCTTTTGAGATAGGGACAAATAGTTGTTTATCCTTTTATTAAATGACAGACGTTCAAACCATGCCATTTCCTTATTCATAAGGAGGCTAATTTCCATAGATAGGTCTTGAATTGGTTTATGTACAACAGTACTAATTCAAACTAAACGGGGGATCAGTTTTCGTCCTTTTAAAGTCGCTATGAAATTTTCAAAAGATCATATATAATTTATTGGAAAGTTTTAAGTCCACAGTTTTTTCTACTTTTCTTTCTGTGCATATAATAGAATTATATTATTTTTGCAAAAAATGAAGTTAATAAATATAAAAAATATATAATATGCACACTTTCTTTGAAAATATTAACCTGAGGGCAGTTTTCTACGAACTTAACGTCTATATTCGACTTATCCTACTTGTAATAGAAAGAAGTAATGTGATGGACTGCAAGAAAAAAGTAGATTAAACTTGAGCAACCGCTAAATTTTGACACAGGTAAGACTATACATATTTGCAAGCCTAATCTTAACCTGATGAATTTATAAAAATGCACTTTGCAAGCTTCCATTTTTTTAGAACCTTTATCAGACTTGGCATATTAATATTAAAAATTCTTAAGTTTTATCAACCTGAAGTACAGCCCGTTCTGACTGCATGTTCATCCTTGCTTACATGTATCTGAATATCTCTTGATCTAAGCTCATTAAAAATCTAAACAAATTCTTTTATACAATTTTCAATATGTCTTTATGTATATGTAACTGACTGTAGCATATACCTTTAATCTTTTATTGGTTATATTTTCTCAAGATGGACAAAATACAAAGCGACAAACACGTTAAAGTAAGACACAGCTAACGTAATTTCAAATCAAACGATGTCCATCAATTTAATGCCATTTCTACGGAAGCATGGAGAGGACATAGTCGATTTATTTTAATAATCTGTGGGAACAACTTATTTGTAGAAGTATTTTTTATTAATCTGTGGGAACAACATATTTTGTGAGAAAAAATCTTTTTTTATTCTGTGGGAACAACATATTTTGTGAGAAAAATCTTTTTTTTCTTCTGTGGGAACAACATATTTTGTGAGAAAAATCTTTTTTTATTCTGTGGGAACAACTTAATTTGAGTAAAAAAAAAATTATTCTGTGGGAACAACATATTTTGTGAGAAAAATCTTTTTTTATTCTGTGGGAACAACATATTTTGTGAGAAAAATCTTTTTTTATTCTGTGGGAACAACATATTTTGAGAGAAAAAATTCTTTTTTTATTTTGTGGGAACAACATATTTTGTGAGAAAAATCTTTTTTTATTCTGTGGGAACAACTTAATTTGAGTAAAAAAGAATTTTTATTCTGTGGGAACAACTTATTTTGTGAGAAAAATCTTTTTTTTATTCTGTGGGAACAAACTATTTTCTGCTATATTTTTTTCAATATCTTGTTCCCTCAAGATAATAAGTTGTGCGAACAAATTAATTATGTTGTTTCCACAACATAATTCAACCAATCAAAATAGCGATTGCCACAAAGAGTGACTGCAAAGTTAAGTCCCTTTTTAAAAAGTCGCCATTTGCACACAATTGCAATAATGGCAGAAGAATTTAGAAAATTATTAGAATTCCTACGTTCTAGAGGATTAAACAACTCACAGCTTCAGAGCATTGAAGCAGATAAAGTTAGTATCTTTAGTACCATATAAAAATTGAAAGTGAGGATCTCTGTAAATTTTGTAAAATCATAATGTTTTCTGTACAGTATGCATGATGTGATCCGATTCCGGGTCAGCTCGGCCCTGAAACGTACTCGGCCCCCGAGTCAAATCGGCCATATACCAACTCGGCACGGGTCAACTCGGCCCACTTTTCAATTATTTATATTTAGGTTTGTGTAATCACTATTTTTTGTAATATTTGTAATTATGTATAATACACGGACTTAATTTTCAGCTTTTGACAATTACAAACAAATTAAATGAAATTGGTTAAAGACATTAAAGGGACTCTTATTGTCACAGGCTATTATTATCAATCAGCGTGTTCGTAAGGATACCGATTAATTAGGTGATAATTATGATTGACGCATGCATTTAAAATTGATTAGTGACCACCTGCAATTAATTAGAAGCTTAATTATGATATTAAGTAAACATGTTTTTGTTTCATTTTTTTTTTAATATTACTACGTTAAATATATTTTTTTTAAAGTGGGCCGAGTTGACCCGTGCCGAGTTGACCCGTGCCGAGTTGGTATAGGGCCGAGTTGACTCTTTTCCATGTGATCCAGTGGTAGAACAAGCGGTGTTTGTCCTTTAACAAAGCACTTTATCTGCATTTTATTGCTGCCGATGAAGCTGTGACTGGTTCCTGGCAAATTGCATGGAAAAAAGTTTTAAAAGGTCTTCAGTGTAGATCTACCTGTTTTTTTGTGTGTATATACTGATCGATATTTAAAGCCACAACCAGGTATGTATATTAACGGTATCCGCAACTCTATATATTTAATCGATAAAGGTAAATATATGCTGTCGTGACAGATAATCCAGCCGGACTGTTGATCGTTATTGATTCTTATCAGTTTCACGGCGTAGGCGAGATAATTTTTGACTTTTGTAAATAAATGTCTCATTATATGTTTTTTTTTTTTTTTTTTTTTTTTTGGGGGGGGGGGGTATATTCTTTTTAAAAGTAACCCATAATAAAATGCTGAAAAAGAAGTTTTCAAATCTATATTTTGGTAATCAATGTACTTACTATAAAGAAAATAATGACGAGTTGAAACACAGGAAAAAAACTTTTTATCTCTCTCCAGACTGTCAGAACTGGTTTAAAAGATTTCACCTCTCCGTGCATTCTAAGGTTTGTTTCATCAGTTGTCCAAATTTTGCAATATTTTTACCAAAAGATAGCACAGAAACTGATCTTTTGAAATGTGTTATTATTACTTAAATAAATAAAATATTTGCAGATTTGCTGCGAATAAAAACACAAATAATTCAAGAGACAAAATTGCGCCATGCAGTAAGAATATAAGCAATGAATATCACGGATATATTATAATATTTCGTCACTTTTTTGGCCGAAACTGTAAGAAAATATTAATACAAACATTCATACTGCATATCTGTCTTTCTTCAATTATATTTCTTACTTGTATATATTACCAAAAAAGAAAAACCAAATGCCAGAACTATTTTAATAAAAACAGCATTGAAGAAACCGGGACAGGTATTGTGTTGAAACTGGACTACTGATCATGCTGATAGTATGCTTGGTTTCAAGAACATTCCTCTTGCAGAAAGTTTCTTTTCATTGAATGTCATTGCTGTTCAGCAACGGGATAATGCAATAAGTAATGTGTAATGCCCTATAATGCATTGTTCTGTTGTTGGCCAGACCCTCTTATGCAGTCGAAACGGATATCAAATTTAGGAAAAGCATTTAATTTATTACTGGATAATTGCATAATTAAGATGTGTTCATGCTGAAAGGAAAGAAAATTGACCAATTTCTGGCAACATGTTGCAAATTCACTCAAAGATTTCTGAAACTTTAAACAAAACTAAGTCTCTTTTTCCTTTGAAGCTCCTTTATGTCACTATTATATTATATTAAAACTACCATTCTCAGTGTATATTTGGTGAGGTTTTAATCTGATATCTATAAAACATAACATATGTTCATTTGACAACATATTTCAAAATCTCATAGAGATTTATAAATTAAAAAAAAACCATCTATCATTGATGGACATTGTGACTTTCAGTTACAAATTATACTTCTGATATAACAGATACTATATTTTTTTATAACTTCACTAATAGGTTATATATATAAATAAATTTATAAATAAAAGTACTGTCAAAAAAGTGTGTAAAGTAACATGTAATTTAAAGCACCAATTAAGTTGTAATGGTAATTTAATTATTACATTTTGAAATGTAATTGACCCATCCCTGATGCTCTAATAAGTAACTTCAAATACAGTACAGTACACTACAGCACATATCATAGCTCAGCTCAGCTCAAATTAACAAAATACAATACAATTAAGCTTGAGTCTGCATGAAAATAACAAAATCAACATATTTTAAAGCTCTGAAACCATCTACTGTACATTTGTGTATGATTGTACTGAACATAATAGGTATAAAAAACAACAAAGAGTTATAAAAGCTACTTTAAAGATACATAACTCATGCAACACAAATAAAGCTGTGTGTTAGTTGCTGATGTAGACATCATTTTTCCTCGGAAGTCTAAACTGCATTAGAAGCGCTGTAAATAATAAACTGAAAATAAAAAAGCACAGAGTGCATAATCAGAGACAAGCTATTGAAACAAGATAATCTTTGCAAGCCAAATTTTATGGAAATTATCATCTGGTCCCTCATGCAATATAGCAATACATTCGGATGCTAGTCATGTAGGGTACACATGTTGATGTACAGTATTTGTGATTTTTGATTATAAAGATTATGTGATTGCTTTACATCATTTTTATTTTATAAATTACAGATTGATGCAGATGCCATTCTCAGCATGAATGACCAGCAATTGAAAAACTACATTGTGGCTTATGGAGACAGGGTGGCAACGGTTGCATTTTGCAAGGGTTTAAAGAATACAGATCACAGGACTGAGAAAACTCTGGATAGAATAAGACAGAAAAACCTCCTCTCAAAGAAGTGTTCAAAACTACAAGGCAATAAGCATGCAAAAAAGACACAAAGAAGGGTTGAGCTGGGTTTAAAACAGTATGACTTTTTTACTAAAACTTACAAACAGGTTCGGAGTCAGTGTGGTGGGGGCATTCGCCATTTATCTGTCACCGTGGATTCGAAGTTATTAGAAATTTTACAGTATGGTAAAGACCTCTTCTTCCCAGATGGACACAACTGCTTTGGCAGTCTTGATGAATTTGAAGTATCTTTATATGATTTTCAAGGACATCCTGCAAAGTTAGATCAAACATTGGCTGAATGCTATGATGAATTCAAATTGAAACTTCTCAGGGTGTATGTTTATACAAAGAAGGTCAGTATTTTATCTGTAAACTAGATATTGTTAAGATCAATGGCCGGATCCGCATTTTCAAGCTGAAAATTACAAGCCCCTCCTGTCATTGAATTTTGCGTAATATGAAGTCTTGTTAAAAGGAACGGGTTATTGAAAATTTCTGGTAGTGTTGCATTTAGCTTTCACCGGTCACTAGACTGATACACAAAGTTCTGTAAATATGTCTTAATTTTCTGTGATATTTACAAATTTGTATATGGATATAAAAAAGAAAAATCTGTGTCAGAAGAAAGTCATAAAAAAAACAACACAGCCCATGAGATAATTAATTTGATTTATTTAACAACCGATTTCACTTTCAATCATCAGGTTTACAAAAGTAACGTCACATATTAACTATGATAGTAACCCTGATGACCGAAAGTAAAACTGGTTGGTAAATCAGTTAAATTAATTATCTCTTGGACTGTGGTTTTTGTTGTTTTATACATGTATCTTATAAGTATTTATTTGACATTTGAATAAAAAAGTTAGAATTGCATTTGTCACTGGTAGAAACATTTCCTTCATATAATTAAATATTTATCTCAATCAGAGTTGCATTATCACATTTTAGAAATGTCCAGTCACTGATGGTGAAAGTACATGTACTGTAGAACAAACACCTCAAGATGATTGTCCTTCAGTTGATAGTTTAGAGAAACAAGTAACTCCAGAACATACACATGTACCTCCGCAAGAAAGCCTGAGTTTAGGAGAAGCTTCACCTGGAAGTTGTTGTGTAAAAAAGGCTGAGGAACATATGGTTGAAGCTGGGACTCCAACTGTACTCATAAAACAATCAGTTTTACAGGTAATAATTAGGGGTGTCTGTTATTATATTTATTCTAGGTAACTTAATAACCAGACTAGATAGACAAAGAGTTTTGCTCTGCTATTCATAGCATGTCTGATTAGCAACACAACAACAACAACAACAACAGCAAAAATTCAAGACAAAATTAAAAATAAATTGTGCTGTCCTCAAATTACATGTATATAAAGATATTTGATTAATAAATTATATAAGAATAATTGTTTAGCTCGCCCGAGCAAAAAGTGCTCAAGATGAGCTTTTATGGTCACCTTTTGTCATGCGTCATCCTTCGTATGTCAACTTTTTCGTCCAAATGACATCTCTTCCGTTCATCGAAGTTTAGGGATTCATGCAGACCTCTAGTCGCCATAACAACCAAACGGAAAGTTTTGAAAATCTTCTCATAAACCAACGATCAGAAATCAAAATAACTTGACACAAATGATCACTCTGTGACACTCTACTAAAATAGCTAACAAATTAATTGAAACTTAGCCATCTTATTAGGCTTTTTCACTCTTATCACACTATATGCATTATTGAAACCCATGAAAAATCTTCTAATCAAAAACCTCTTTGCTCGATTTGTTTAAATTACTAATTTGTCACAAATGGTTTTTAGATAACTACCTATAATGTTGAACCCATTGTTACAGCAACCATAAACAAAAGTTAAGTTATTTCCCCCATTGTAGTGAAATGATGTATCATGGAAAAGTAATATCAAACGATTTCTTCCCCATAATATTTCTGAAATCAAGGGTTATACATTTAAGAATTAGTGGCAGCTGCATAAGTTTACTTGAAACAACAATTTAACACTGCTTGAGAGAATTAATTCATATGAGTTATATTAACACTTGTTTTAAAAGGGACCAAGCAGGTTCGCTCAAGACGACAGTTGTGTCTGATGTTGAATCCTGGATTTCCCCTGTCATTCATTTCCCGGGAAAAGAAGAAGTTTAAACTTAAAGGTGACTTTAACAAAAAAAAGAAATAGTTCTTAAGTTTAAAATTTAAGTTTTTTTTAAAATTCTTAAATTAAAAATTTCACATTTTGTAAAAAATTTGTATTTTAGACTAACTAAAATTTATAATTTTACTTTGTGACACCCAAACAAAAACCCCCGGGTTTCCCAGATGAAAACCAAAATCTTTACAGTAAAAATTTCTAGCTAAAAATTTCCCTTTGTATTAAAACCCCTCAACGAAAACCCTTAAAAATTTGGGTTAAATACAAGCCCAATACTAAAAAAAGTTTTTCTAAATGCACTTTTTCAGAAAGAAACCCTTTTGGTTAGCAATATAACATTGTCTAGGGTTAATGTTACGCAGTTTCAATGCAGATAATATAGTTCATTCGCGACAGAAAGAACACAATATCATGCTTTTCTTTGTTGTTCAGAATCAATAAAAAATACAGGTATACATTGTATCATTTATGGTTTATTTTTGTTTGTTTGTTCTAAACTTCTTTACAAATATTTCAGAATAATTCACCTGACAGAAAGCGCCAGTCAGAATCTGAAGATAGTGATTCAATGGCAGCTGCAGTTCGTGCCAGTTTAGATGACAAGTATACGTTCATTTTTTAAATCAATAACAATCAATAAGATTCAATAATAATGAAACTATTCTTCTGGCACCTAAATGCTGACAACAGGGCTTTCCATGTTAAATTTTAAGGCTGAGCCTATAGTCCAGTGTTCACTAAGGATCAAGATCAGGATCAAAAATTAAATTTTGTAAATATTCAGTAAGTGTTGTTTAGAGTGGTACCAGCCTCATTTGTTGCACATGTAAAATAGAGCTAAAATTTCACATAATTACATAAATTTTCCAACTAAATCCTTTTTTTTGATTAGACGGAATTCACTTTTAAGAGTTGATCCAAAGTTTGATCCTGATTCTGAAATTGATCCTTGTTTAAATCCAATTATTTTTGTATTTATATAGTTATAACTACAAATTAAATTTCACAAAGTGTCAATTTTTGTGTAAATCTGTGGATTTCATCATTTTTGATATATACCAAAAATTATTTTGCTCAATATCATCAAATGAGGGCAGAAAACAATGAAATTCAAATCAGGATCATGCAGTTTGATCTTGATTTTTCTTAGTGAACACGGGGCCTGATTCTTGTTATATAACCGTTTGGTACTAAATGTCCAATTTTCATGAAATTTAATTGGAAAACACAATTTGACAGGCAGGTCACATTTTAACAAGCATCGTGACTATTATGCATCTATAGCTGTTATAAGTGTAATATTTTGGGAAAGTTTTTTTATCTTCCAGTCATCATGGAATATGATGTGACATGATACAATTGGTTAGTAATATGCACTGTGTTGCATTGCATTTGAATTTATATACAAAGATACTTTCTGCAAATTACAAAATGTTCATTCACATTTACTTGAAAAAAGAATGTATCACTATCTTTGGAAAATACTTTTTACTGTTAGATATATTTTGTCTGCCTGTTTTTCAGTGGCAAATCCCTACAAGAAATTCTAATAGAATTGTCATCCCAAATTGACCAGCATGGAGATGCAAACTTGGTTAATGTGGACAGAAACAATATTCTTGATGGAGCAAGAAGGGGCTTTACCAGAAAAAAGTTTAGAGCAGAGTGCAAACTAAGTATAAAATTTTCGGGCGAATACGGAATTGATGAAGGAGGACCAAGCCGAGAATTTATGATGCTGGCATTAAAGGCAATTCATGAGTCACCAATATTTGAAGGGGAGGAGAATGCAAAAATTATCTGCCCTGACCTTCCAAGTAAGTTTCTAGTCTGCTCTTTTTCTATTGTTTTGAAAGTCCCAACTGCCTGTTTTAATGCTAATTTGATCCCTGAATTGAAAAAGCAGTAGCCCTATAGTAATCAGACAGCCTGTCCGTCCGTTTTTGTACTGTGATAGCTAAATTGAGCAACTTTTGACACAGACCATTCATATTTCATACATACTTAGTCATAGTTTACGTACAGGTTCAGACATCTATACTTTTGGGTTTTGAGTTTTTAGGGCTTTTTTACCTGTATGAATTAAATGGGGTCTAGCAGTTTTTCCCAATTTAATTTAAAAAGTTCCATTTTTTAACCCAAAAAACCTATTAAAAATAATGAAAGGACCCCCATTACTAAGCATAACAAAAATTTTATATATCTCACCCAACCCTCAAAGGGATTTTCCCTGAAACTCAAACATTTTTTTTGGTTAATAAGCTCATTCCCAAAACCATATATCTGCCCTTTCTTTTGGCTGAATTGATTTTTAAAAACCCTTTGGGTTAGTTTTTCCCGTAAAGTTGAAATCCCCAGCCACCATAAACATATCAACAAAAAAAGGTCTCGAATAAAAAACCCTTTTTGGTTTTAAAATTTCCCTATTTTCATTTTGTATTTTTGTACGTTTAGGGGTAAAAGGGGTTTCACCCCATGTACTACCCTTCCTGAGAATAGTTCAATCATGCTTTTTTTACTGGAAATTTTTTTTTTAATAATTTTATGTTAACTTTAAAAAGGGAAATTTAATTTGAAATGATTTTTAAATTTAAAATTTTTAGGGGACTTTTAGCAACCAAGATGCTTTTTTTAAATAAATCACTAAAGGCATTTTCCACTGCGGGAGGAGCAAGTGACAAAATTGGGAAAATTTAAAACCAGGAAACAATTTAAAGGGTTTTTCGTTTGGGCTTTAAATGAATTTAGTTTAAGGGTTTAAAAGAGTTAATTTTTTAAGTATTTTATAAAAAAGGGTTTCAGTAGTTTACAAAAAATTGATTTTCTTGAATCACAGCAGAAAACAAAATTTTAAATTACCCAATAAAGTAAATTTTTTAAAATGGGTTTAGGATTTAAAGGGGGGCTTCAGAGCTCAATTTGATATGTTAACCCAGAAAAAACCTTTCTACAATGTTTTCCAGCTAGAAATTTCTCTAAAAAAATAAAAATCCAGACCAGAGTGATAGTTTTCAAGGGTAAAATGCAGTTCTTTGTTTGAAGCAAGGATACATGAATCAGAATGTGCATATTTGTTTATGTTTTATGTTTACAGGTGCAGACAGGAATGATTATTACATCTTTGGCAATATGATTGCCTATTTCATTGTGCACAAAGGACCATCTCCTTGCTTCTTCTCCTCCACAATGTATCAGTTGTTAGCTGGTAAGCCATGTTACCCAAACATTGCAGACGTTGGGGATTTTGAAATTCGAACACAGTTACAAATGGTATGTTTTTGACTGTTCATGTTGCACTTATTCTTGTGACATAGTTTGTAATGCCCCTCCATCCCCTCCCCTATCAAAGATGAGTCCAGGGAGGATATTGTTTTGCAAATGCCGCTTGGGCAGTTAGTAGGTTGGTGTTTTGTAGACACTTCATTTTCAATCAATAGCTAGAGAACTAGAGGCTCCTCAAAATTCACTCACTATTTTTGCACAAAATTCATTTCTGAGTTCTTCGTAGCTGTCTCAATTTCCAAACTCAATTTTGAGATCTCAAACTTTAATAACTTTAATTTTTGGATGAACTCATAGTTAATCACTTATTAAGCATCTGAGATTTGAGCTGAGTGTTATAACCTTGGGGCCTAGTCTTGCTGGTTTTTGAGAAATAATAAAGATAGATAAAGGTTCTCCTACAGACAAAGACTTAAAATATGTTCTTTAATTTGAGAGCACATATCTGTAATAATCACGCAAAGTGGGCTGGGTTTTTTTTTACTTAAATCATTCAAACATGGTGACTCTTGATTAAATTAATTCAAATGTAGCAGTAGGGTCAAAATTTTTCAAGTGAAAGTGTTTATTCAATTAAAATGCATTTTAGTTAAAACAATGTATAAAACAAACATAACATTTTCTGAAGTTACATGAAATGGGGCAGATGAAGGACTTGCTCTGTTCCCAAATAATCAAAGGATATAAAGAATATGACAGGATATAAAGAATTTAGAGCTAGTCATTTGTATGCTCATTCTTATCCTAGATTGAGCTATCATCTCCTGTCAGGGTTGGGGGAAACCTGTATTAAAACAAGAATACTACTGTTTTTTGCCGTATTTTGAAACTTGATTCACCTTGTATAAGCAGTCGTATATAACCAAGTTGATTACCAGTCTTGTTCAATGTATGCTCTAGTTATAGGGGTGTTTGGTATTTTTTTATTTATGGAATTTTTGTCAGAAATTTCAATAAGAAAACATTGTAGACTCATTATTCGGCATCTTATTTGGTATATTTTTCCAGATTAAAGAGACAGAGGACCTCAGAAAAATTTCACTTCCAGAGTCAATCATGCAAGCAGTTGAGTATGTGGGTGCAGTCCCACTTCTTTCGTTGAACAAGAAGGACAAGATTCTTGATGCTTTGCTAGATTACTTTGTGTTAAATCGTGTGAAAGGTGTTCTTCCCCAGTAAGTATGAATAAATTGATATAAAATAAAATAATTCATATCTAATTAATTGTGAGTACAATTTGTAAGGTAGGAATTGCTAGTGGCAGACTAGGACCTTATTGCATAAATAAGCATTAATCATACTATTACCAGGCTGTTCTTTTTTCTTTTAGATGTACATATATTTTTTATTAACAACATTTCTGAAATAACAAAAATACTAGTAAGTCTTACTGAGCTCAAAAATACAATACTTAAAGTTAAATCTTGACTCTTGTTTATACAAGTGAGCTTTGCAGAAATCACAACATTAGTCAATGTTAATTATGCCGATGACATTAAGGTGAAAAGACTGAGTACAGAAGAAATAGAAATGGGATTCAAAGTGGATATGGGTGTTTTGTAGTATCTGGTGTTTGGACATACTTCAGGGTTCTTTTTTCTGTGTAAGAGTACATGAATATTATTTTCCTGGTTAGAAACAGAACTTGGCCAAATGTCTCTTGACAACAAGTACAAAATAGATTTAATCATAAGTTCAATGAAATGCATGAGTGTAAATCTCTTTTCTTGTTATCAAGCTAAAACATTGAATATATAATTGTATGATATTGCAGATTTCTCGATGGTCTGTCCTCATTGGGCATTCTGAAAGCTATCCGGGAATTTCTTGTTACAATGAGGCCGTTGTTCATTTACCAGAAAGCAGCTGCAGCGACAACAGCCTACATTGAAGAATTGTTTGT